ACACACTGGACCACCTGTGCGTCCTCCTCTATGCGACCGTGCGGGGTGGTGCATGTGCAGGATACCATATATATATAACACCAAGACAGTGTATACGTTTATATGCTAGTTTTTTTGATGTACAAGGTTTAATCACACACCCGCCACAAACAAATTCAAAGATGAGATTTATTTTAGGGTTGGCGATGGATGCGCTCGTTGGCTGCTGGAAGAAAAGCGGGATTAGGGCAACTCCAACCAAGGCCTTATCTCAACCCTCATCTCATTTTGAGGGTCCAAAACGCAAAAAACGCTCTCCAACCCATCTCCTATCTAGCCCCGACGGATGAGAATGCCTCATTCCTCTCTCCTCGTCCCCCACATCCGAGGGAGTCCTATCCGAAGCCTCATCCGGCGAAGGGGAGCAACAACCATCTTCCCGCGCCGCCCCGGAGTTCTCCATGGTGGTATGTCCCCATCCTTCTGTTCTCGTTTTGGTGTCGCCCATGCAGTGCCGGCCCTGCAAGGGTGCACGGGGTGCACGGGAGGGGGGTGGGGTAGCCCAGGACCCCATGTATAAAGGCCATCAGTACTGCAGGCCCTTTAGCCTTTAGGTATACTACGCGTAACGCGTCTACGCGAATGCTCGCCCGACGCCCAGGACCCTACGCGAACGGCCGAACGCCCACGCCACCGAAGGGTGAATGCGAATCGCCGTCCGTGATCCATCTCGCCGACACCGTGCGTGCGGCATAGGCACTGCAGCTCCCATCCGGCTGTCCCGTGGTTGTCCGGTACAACGCCGCCGGGTAGGACGTAGGCGGGTACGGGACACAGACGACGGCAAGGCGACCATCTAGGTATTTTTTTCTTGATCGTTTTTTAATCTAAATTAATTACTTCGGATTTCTAGTTCTCGGTACTCATATAGTTGTGTTTTTTTTTCTATTTAGACGTTAGAAACTTAGAATGTTACCTAAGAAATATTTGTCGGGGTCTCAGAAAAGAAAACAAAAAAGAGTAGAAGATCAATTTATTGAATCTCAAAAAGGTGCTATACATAAGTTTTTTTCCAGCTTCAAGCAGTGTTGTGCCTGATGATAATCCTATAGATGCACTTGATATTGAAGAATAAGGGCAGCAACAGCAACAAGTTAATGATAATTTAAGTGAACAAGTTGATGACATTGATGATGCTATAGAGAATGAAAATTTATAGCCTTCCTCTCAACCTGAAAATTCAATTGATGATGTGCAAGAAGCTTCTATTCATGATGTCTTTGATCTTGAAACTCGGGGAAATCTTGATAATAAGGGTAGAGATATATTAATTGAAAAGGGACCGGTGGGAGAATTGAATCTTGAGTTCCCTGCATATGCTCTTAATAGACATGCCAGCGCTTGAGATTTTGGAGTTTGTTATAGCTGCAGATTGCTATTCAAATGTTTCAGTTGCCTATCGAATCCTCTTAACTGTATCTATGACTGTAGCTTCAGCAAAAAGAAGTTTCTCAAAATTAAAGTTGTTGAAGAACTATTTGAGATCAACTATGTCACAAGAAAGGTTAAATGGATTGGCTATGTGCACCATCGATAGGGATATCTTGGACACTATTGATCTCAATAACGTCCTTAATGATTTTGCATCGAGAAACGTCCGAAGAACCATCTTTTTTGAGAAGCAAAGGATATTATGGAGTTCTATTCTTCTTTAAGGTAATCATATTAGTTTTAGTCTACATTGTTCCTCGATAATTATCAAATATGTTAAATTAAAAATATGTTACTAGATTTGTTTTCGCTTTGTAAAAAAAATTAGCGCATATATATATTATAAGATTTATATATAGTAAGCGGGGCCGTCGCGATGAGTTCGCCAGAGACCCTCGAAATCTTAGGACCGGCACTGCGCCCATGGCCGCCGTACGAAGGTCGCCCCTGCTGCTGCGCCTGCCAAATCTGCTTCCTTCTCGCCCATGGCCGCCGCTGCTCCCGGAGGTCGCCCCCCTGCTGCTACCGTACTCGCCTATAGCTGCTGGAACCCCGGCCGTACTCGCCTCACTCGACGATGTCGCGCGGAGCGAGCTTTCTCGCCTGGGGTCTCGTACGGCGCTGCTCGCCTTGCCGGCGACAAGGGTGTGGTGTGATACACGCAACGCAAGCTACAAGTTACTCGTACTCCTACCTGCTGTGGTCTGTGGAGAAACTACTAAAGCGCTTTTTCTAGCCGGTGCTTGTGTTCTTGTAGACGCCATGATTATGGTTTCTCTGTCTGTACATGACAAAACTGCATAATTATAGTTAGCGTAAATGAAAAAAGCGTAGCCTACTGATCTCTGGTTCGCTCCTAATTATGCAGTGGAAACCTCACTAACTTTATCAAAGGCACTAGGTATTAGAGACTAGCTAGAGAGTGTGTTCGTCAGGCCGGAGAGCAAAGTTTGGAAAGATACGTACTACATTCATATATACAAAAAATGCGCGTGGTTAGGGTTATAATTGCGCTCACTCGGCCGGCCTCAAAGGCTTAACCGAACTATTGAATATTATCTGCTGGTTGTAGACAGATTAAGGTCTTATTATTTAGTAGTTCAAGTTGATTTTTGTGTTCTTAGAATTATTGAAGACAATTCCTATATGCAGGAGAAAAAAATACAGAGTTGGGTTGATTTGGTCTCAGCCAATGGGGACACCAATGATCTATTTTTTGATGACTTTCTAGTTGAAACACATGTTGAACAAGTTGCTGAACAATCAACTCCCCCTTGAAACCAAGTAAGAAGAGGACTAGAAATTTCAACCCTAGGAAGACAATATGTTGGTGACAGCATGGCTAGAAATTAGCTTGGATCCACTTCAGGGCACTGATCAAACTTGTAGTACATATTGGAAGCGAATTCATGATTACTATCATGAGCACAAGATTTTTAGTCAGTAGCGTAATATCAGTTCTCTCTCTCACCGTTGGGGTATCATCCACAAAAGTGTTAATAGATTTTGTGGATGGTATACTCAGGTTCAGAATAGAAAAGAAAGAGGGCTAACAAAGCAAGATAGGGTAAGTTATTTAATTGTGTTAATTGATTGAAAATGTATATGTTTTGTGCATTGTAGCCAACACATGTTTCTTGTGCAGATAGAACGGGCAAAGGAAATGTATCAGGCAAAAGATCCGGAGGGAAAATCATTTACTTTCATGCACTGCTGGAATAAGTTGAAGCTTGAGCAAAAGTGGGCTGATCTAGGTTGTGAAACCTCTCAAAAAAAAACAAGACGTCCTCAACTGCAAGTCCAGGGTCATGTACACCTGGAACTCATGAAAGTAAGCATGCTGATGAAGAGGAGGGACCAAATCATACATCACCAAGGAAAGGAAGGCCGGATGGTAAGAAGAAGGAGAAAGCATGCATGTTTGGAAATCCTAACTCTCAAGGAGAAGGCCTTTACATGGAGGCAATGGAAAAATTGTAGGCAAAGAGAGAAAAGGCCGAAGAGATGAGGGAGATTAAGAAAAAAGAACATAATGATGAGAGACTTGCGCTAGAGACTAGAAAGCTTGAAATCAAGAAACAAGTAGAGAATAGGAGGCTGGATTTAATGCAACAAGAAATAGAGTTGAAACGGACAGAAGATGATCAGAAAGTTATGAATATGGACCTTACTACTATGAGTGAGCAACGAAAGATATTCTATAAGACATTGCAGGATGAGATCATTGCTCGACGTTGTGGTGCTGGCAACTAGAGGCATCGTGTTTTATTTGTGTTTTGTGTGTGCACTATGGACTATGTTTATTTAAATTATATATCAGTATGTTTGTTATCCAAGGAACTCTGTAAGCATAATTTGTGGCTAGATTATGGACCTCTATGTGTAGTGATTGTTAAATTGTGTGCGCAAATGACTGATGAATTTGACTGATGAAATTGATTGATACATGACTGAAAATAGAGAGTACAAGACTTATACATGACAGATACATGACTCATAAAATAGAGGATACATGACTGATAGAATAGAGGGTATAAGACTACATGGATATGACGGTACACTACTGATACAAGTCTGGGTGTGTTGCCAAAAGTGCTCGATAAGATCGTGCTGAAGTTGGGTGTGGATTTGCCTGTTTGTGATATTTGTGATGAACTTGTATGAATTTACGGAACTCCTGTGTACGATTACGAGCTTCACGTGGAGTAGGCCTCACAAGCTGGCCGACACCCTCGTAATGGCCGTCTTCCTCTACGTCTTCACTGCGCTCATTTTCAATGATCATGTTGTGCATGATGACACAAGCTATCATTTTTTTGTCTAAGTGTTGCTTTATCCCACATACGAGCTGGTCCGCGAACAATGGTAAATTAAGCTTGAAGAACCCCAAAAGCTCTTGACGGCCTCCAGCTCCGGCGGCGTGAGCCTCGCCGAGAACCCGCTCATGACGTTCCTGTAGTTGTACAGGATCGCCGTTTTCGCCTTCGCGTCACTGCACGCATCAGATAGATCATGCATCACGGATCATGATGAGGTTCCGTTCCGTTCCGACGATGGATTCACTCAGAGATCGATCGATGGCGGGGTGCACGTACGTACCTTCCGAGGGCGGCGGCGAGGATGCCGAGCTGGTACGCCTGGCAGTCGACGCCCGGGGGGTGTGGGTCGACGTAGACGGCAGGAAATGCCGCTGCTGCACTGCACGTCCTCCAAAAAAAATAGGAACCCCAAGATAATAATCTGCCAAATTTTAAAGATCTGAATGCAAACTTCTACTTTGATGATCGATTACATGCATGCGTGTAAATTCACATGTCTCTCATCTGTAGCAAGTATTACAAGGAGAAAAAGGAACGTATTTTACAATTTAATTACATGCACAAGCCACGTTTGATTCAGAAGAAGGAAGAACAACGAACAATGCCTAGTCACGGATGGTCATCAACACAATGCATGCATGCATGGATGGATGGAGCAATATACATGGTCGTCGAGCAACATTAACAATGCACAACTAGCAACTAGCTAGTTCAATTCGGGGTCGTGCACACGGGCGCGACGGCGGGGGCGCCGCGCGGGCCGTGCTCTCTGACGTCGTAGAGCTCGCCGTCGCCCCAGAGCGCGTACACCTCCTCGCCGTGGACGGCGTCGTCACCGACCTCGAGCTTGTCCTCGGTCATGCGCAGCAGGACGACGGCGTTGATGGCAACGCAGATGATCGAGGTGACGGCCACGTTCCATCCGATGATGAAGAGCGCGCCCGCCAGCTGCTTGCCAAGCTGCGTGCCGCCGCCGTAGAAGGCGCCCCGGGAGTTGCTGACGGGCAGGAAGAGCGCGCACAGGGTGGGGTCGGCGAGGAGCCCCGTGTGCTGGCCGCCCAGGAGCCCCGCCACGCCCAGTGCCGGCCCTGCAAGGTGCACGGGGTGCGATGGCCTAGGGCCCACGGGAGGGGGACCCAGCCCAGGACAGGCCCTCAGTACTGCACGTATACAGGCACGTATACAGGCCCTCAGTACTGTAGGCCCTTTAGCCTTTAGGTATACTAGTCTACGCGAACGCTCGCCCGACGCCCAGGACCCTACGTGAACTGCCGAACACCCGCGCCGCCGAAGGTGAATGCGAATCGCCGTCCGTGATCCGTCTCGCCGACACCACGCGTGCGGCATAGGCACTGCGGCTCCCGTCCGACTGTCCCGTGGTTGTCCGGTACAACGCTGTTGGGTAGGCCGTAGGCGGGTACGGGACGCAGACGACGGCAAGGCGACGATCTAGGTATTTTTTCCTTGATCGTTTTTTAATCTAAATTAATTAATTCGGACTTCTAGTACTCGGTACTCATATAGTCGTGTTTTTCTTCTAATTTAGGTGTTAGAAACTTAGAATGTTACCTGAGAAATATTTATCGGGGTCTCAGAAAAGAAAACGAAAAAGAGTAGAAGATCAATTTATTGAATCTCAAAAGGTGCTATACATAAGTTTTTTTTCAACTTCAAGCAGTGTTGTGCCTGATGATAATCCTATAGATGCACTTGATATTGAAGAACAAGGGCAGCAACAGCAACAAGTTAATGATAATTTAAGTGAACAAGTTGATGACATTGATGATGCTACAGAGAATAAAAATTTACAGCCTTCCTCTCAACCTGAAAATTCAATTGATGATGTGCAAGAAGCTTCTATTCATGATGTCTTTGATCCTAGAACTTGGAAAAATCTTGATAATAAGGGTAGATATATATTAATTGAAAAAGGGCCGGTGAGAGAATTAAATCTTGAGTTCCCTGCAGATGTTCTTAATAGACATGCCAGCGCTTGAGATTCTGGAGTTTGTTATAGTTGTAGATTGCTATCCAAATGTTTCAGTTGCCTATCGAATCCTCTTAACTGTACCTATGACTGTAGCTTAGGGTTAGGATGTAGATGGGGATTGTGGTGGATCAGGTGAACCTCGTGCCTTGTGCCCCGGCTCCCACCTCCTTTCTATGGACACTGTGTGACGGGGGCCCACCAACCATAAATAGGGTTGGGCGCCCCCGATCAGAGCGTGGATCTAGGGCCCAATTGACCGTTTGGCATAGTTCGTAGAGATCAACCTAGCATTCTTCCCCTTGATCTCACCTTATGACTTAAACTTAACTTACTTTATCTTTTTCCTATTTCATCACAGATCAATACATAGAGCGTGCATCGTCGTTACGGCCAGTTGCAATTAGATTAACAGCTACAATGTACCTCTCTGTTTTGAAACAGATTCTCATCTAGGCCCTTCTTTTCAGGAATCATAGGCTTTTCCTTAAACCCATGCCGGCTAAGTGTTCTCTGAACACGTTGGGTGGTAAGCCTTTTGTAAGCGGATCCACGAGCATCTTTTCCTGTACTTATATGCTCAAGACTAATTATATGATCCCGGATTATCTTTCACAACATAATACTTTATGTCAATGATTTTTGGCAGCACCACTTAACTTATTGTTGTGAGTATAACATACTACTGGATTATTATCGTAGTATAACTTGAGTGGCTTTTGTATGTCGTCTACCACTTTTAACCCGGGCATGAACTTCTTCAGCCAATTTACCTGCCCTGTGGTCTCATAACACGCTAAAAACTCGGCATATATCGTAGACGATGTAGTGACGGTTTGCTTTGAGCTTTTCCACGATATAGCTCCTTCTGCGAGAGTGAATATATATCCTGACATGGATTTTTTATTATTTTCCGCATAATCTGAATCTGTATATCCCTCTATGTGTAGGGAATCAGATTTTCGGTATGTTAGCATGAGACCTTTTGTGTCTTGCAAGTAACACAAAACTTTCTTTACTAGTCTCCAGTGTTCTATTCCTGGATTACTCTGATATCTGTCAAGTAACCCGGTAACAAATGCTAAGTCAGGGCGTGTACACACTTGAACATACTGTAAACTTCCGATAGCTGAAGCATATGAAACTGCTTTCGTTTGATCGATCTTATATTGGTTCCTAGGACATTAAAATTCCCCAAATCTATCGCCTTTGACTATGGGAGTAGGTGAAGGCTTACAATTTTACATATTGTATTTCTTTAGAACCGTTTCTAAGTATGCCTTTTGTGATAGTCCTAAAACCCTCTTTTCTCTATCTCGGTGAATCTCTATTCCTAGAACGAACAAAGCTTCACCGAGATTCTTCATATCAAACTTCAAGGACAAGAACTTCTTCGTTTCTAGTAGTAGATTAACATCACTACTAGCAAGTAAGATGTCATCCACATACAAGATTAGGAAAATGTATTTCCCATTCTTGAACTTTGCATAAACGCAATTGTCCTCTATATTTTCTTAAAACCCAAACTTTCTTATTATACTATCAAACTTTAAATACCACTGTCTTGATGCTTGTTTTAATCCATAAATGGATTTCTTCAGGCGGCATCCCATACGTTCTTTTCCTTCTACAATAAAACCTTTTGGTTGTGCCATATAAACATTTTTCTCCAAATCCCTATTTAGGAACGCCATCTTTACATCCATCTGATGTAATTCTAAATCGTAATGTGCTACAAGCACCATTATAATTCTAAAAGAATCCTTACATGAGACTGGAGAAAATGTCTCATTGTAATCTATGCCTTCTCTTTGCGTGAAGCCTTTCGCCATAAGTCACGCTTTAAATCTTTCTACGTTCCCTTTGGAGTCATGTTTAATTTTGTAGACCCATTTACAGCCTACTGTCTTGGCTCCTTTAGGAATTATTTCTAAGTCCCAAACACCGTTGGTATTCATTGATTTTATTTCATCTTGCATGGCTTCAAGCCACTTTGATGAGTGAGCGCTTCTCATATCTTCTTCAAATGAGGTGAGATCACCCTTCATTTGAAATTCTTTACATTCATAGACTTCTGTGACAGAACCGCCCAATTTATACAAGATCAAGTATGGTTGTCCCCGCTAACACGTTGACACACCCATACTTTCACTCATATAAACCCGGTAGTCCGCCGAGTGTCCCGAAAGACCTCGGTAAATCAACATCACAACCAAGATCGCGTGATTAAGCAAATACACATCACATACATCAGGTTGCGTGAAATAATATTACAAAGGGTTAACAAATAATAGTACAAGTTTGGGTTTCAAAACCGCTTAGTGAAAACAACATAGCTTTCAAATGATTACATTAATATAAGTTCCAAATATATTGCTAGCATAGTGACATCATCCAACAAAAGCATATAGATGAGAAGTAAGTATAGAATCACCGAGCCCACCGGTGGTTAGCCACCATCATCAGCAGTCGAGAACATCACCGCAACAAGGTGGGATAAACCACGAGTACTCGAATGTACTCGGCCGGACTTACCCGTCGGAAACCAAAACAAATGACACCAAGGATCATGCAAGGCTTTCTTTAATGGGCTAGTGACTTGTTTGCGAAAAGCATAAGCTATCATGAAGAAACCATTTTAAGTACTTTGCATTATCTTTATTATGGCCTATCCATCTAGGTAAGCTTTTGTACTATAGCAATCACTTGATTAACCAATAACATCCAATTACCAATTTAAATTTAGCATATCCCATACCATCCGAGATAACCATCATTGTTCCATAAAATTACTACGATGAAGTAACTCGAGTCAAGTGCTCACTATCCGGGAGGCGATGGCGATTCGAATCGATTCTAACCATTGGTGATTTATTCCTTACACAAACCTCACTCACCCGCTAAAGTGAGATATTGATCACCGAGTCAACTTTCCGGTATCTCGAGTTTGCGGGGAACCACATGTACCGGGGCCGGCCGACCATTGCACTTTGGTCTTATCATCCGCGCCCGTGTCCTACACACTGCTCGGCACACGGTCTTGGCTGCGGGCAATCTACTCGGCCGAAAAAATCTCCGGCTTCAGCGGTCGGAAGGTACTTTATTGGCCAGCTAAATGTAAGGCATGCGTTCAACATGACTCGAGGCCCAACAACGGTCGGTCCTTAATCGACCTGCAGAACGAAACTAACGGCACCCAGAACCACATGCGGTTGCCTCCACTTTTCCGTCCGGTCTCCAATTATCCATCACACATGGTTACTTCCAGGATATCATTCTTTCCATAGCTAAATTCTTCCGGTAACCACCTATAATGTAGGTGATCGGATATCACCGATCGCTACCGGTCTAAGCAAGGCTAGCGGTTATTCGATCGACCTAACAGGATAAAAAGGTAATAAGGTAGGCAAGGATAGTAATAAATGCATCAACGGTTTCAATCAACTCCTACAACTTAATGCAACAATATATAACTCATATATAGAAAGAATTTCTTTTATAAATTAGGAGACTTATAATGCTCAAAGGGCTTACAGGATCCGACACAAGTCGATTCGGTTAGCTTGCAAATCTGGTGACGTCTCGAGTCCTAACATTCGCTTAGTCCTTCCATCTTGGGATAGATCCTCCATACATCGTCTTGGGTTCGGCTCCAACATCATGTTCTTCACGTGGTTCATCTAGCGCACCTAGATGAGATGCAATATGCAAATGCATAAATATGAAGAATAGTACCATGAGACACATCACAAAATAGCAAGCAAGACAAGCATAGTTTACACTAACACACTTAAGTACTTTGCGATGCTTAACTTAAACATCACACAATCTATCATGCTAAGATGGCAAAGAAGAAGACAACACCAATCATGACACAAGTTTCCCCAGATCTCAAGTTAACTAAGTCAAATATACTCATTTACAGAAACTGGTCTACAATTGACAGAAAGCAGTCATTCCTGAAACCCAACTTTAAACAGCTATAACTCTTAAACTACTTGGCCAAATGACACCAAATTTTAATAGAAGCTAGATACATGAATTATCTACAACTTTTGTATAAACAAGTTTCACAACAAAGCACATTATCATGAAGAACTTTGCTAAGTTCCCAGATCTGTCCATAAACCACATCGGCAAGAAAATAATTATTAACTTATGTTGCAAATGCAT